ATGGAGAAAGGAGACCCTGGAACCTACCTTAGAAGTGGGAATGGCCATGGTCCCCCTTTGTTCTGCGTGCAGTGCAGGCCTTGGGAACTTGGGCCATGGGAGGAAGCCGGTGACTTCCTCGGTTGGGGCCCTCGTCTCTGCAGTGCGACCTCCGGGGACAAGGACTGTCCGATACTTGCTGCTTCAGGGCACAAGATGCTTATGGTTGTTTTCAATGGGATAGAAGAAAAAACTTCGAATTCTGGCTGAGGGTTTCCATGGCAGAGTCATATGATACAGTTCGAATCTATCCCGGATTCAGAGAAGGAACAGAAGCAACCTTTTAAGATTTCAAAGCTTAATTTAGGGTAAGCTGGGAGTACCTGGCAGTCCAGTGGTTAGGATTTGTCACTTTCACTGCCGTGGCCCCGGGTTCAATCCCTGGTCGGGGAACTAAGGTCCCGCACTGCTCCTAAACAGACCCAGATTTCATGTGACCGAGCATCAAGGGTGCCCGCTCCTGGACTGGCCAAGAATTGTTTATGGCTACATTTTGAACATGGCAACGCCAGGGCTAATGAAAATAGAAGTTTTAGCTAACGCTTACCATGGTGCTTAAAATGTACCTGACACAGGTCTAAGTGGTTTATATTATTAGCTCTCTTAACAACTCATAACAACTTTATGAGGTAGGGACTCTTATTATGTCCATTTTACTTTTGAGGAAACGGAGGCCCAGGGTGATTAAGTAACTTGTCCAGTGTCACACAGCTGGTAAATGAAGTTGAGATCTGAACGCAGGCAGCTAGTTTCCAGAATCAGGCTTTGGGAAATTTGAAGGAAGGATCAAGCCTCCCCTTGGCCTCTCTTTGTTGAATCCTGTGTGTCCACCAGGCATCAGCTTAGATGTCTTTCTCCAGAGGATTTCTCTGCCTGGATGAGGTGCCCCCTCTCCGGGGCCCCGTGGCACCCTGTGCACACCCCACACAGCTCCATTCACCATTTGCTGGCATGTTTCCTCTCCCAGGCAGTAAGCTCTCCAAGGGCGTGGACTGTGTCTTGCTGGTTGCTCTATCCACATCCCCTAGCAGGAGCCAGGCAGCCAGCTGATATGGTGACTTGTGAAAATTAGAAAAAGGCGCTGGGCAGATGTGGGTGTTTATCCTCCCACATTTAAAGCAAACTACATTGCTTTAAAAGAGTACTTCATAGTTTATAGAATTCTATGTTTCATTTAATCTTCATAGTAACTCAGTGTGGCAGACATTCATGTCATTCTCATTTTGACAGAGGTGTAAAGTGAGGCCTAGAGGCATAGAGCTTTCTTAAGAAAGCTGGCATGGAGTGTTGGTGAGGATGGGAGAACAGGGAACCCTGTGCACTGTTGGTGGGAATGTCAAATGGTGCAGCCGCTATGGCAAACAGTATGGAGGTTCCTCAAAAAATTAAAAATAAAGCTACCATATGACCCAGCAATCCCCCTTCTGTGTATATTTCCAAAGGAAATGAAATCAGGCTCTTAAAGAGATATCTGTACTCCTGTGTTTATTGCAACATTATTCACAATAGCCAAGCTATAGAAACAACATGAACATCTGTCAACGGATGATTGGATAAAGACCATGGGAATGAAGGAAATCCTGCCATTTGCAGCAACAGACATGGACCTTCAGGGCATTATGCTAACTGAAAAAAGTCAGACAGAGAAAAATACTACACGATATCACTTATATGTGAAATCTAAAAAAGCCGAACTTGTAGAAACAGAGAGTAGAATGGTGGTTACCAGGGGCTGGGGTTGTGGGGGGATGAAGGGGGAGGTGGGGGGATGAAGGGGGAGGTGAGGAGGAGTCAGGGAGATGTTGGTCAAAGGGTACAAACTTGCAGTTAGAAGATGAATAAATTCTGGGGATCTAATGCACAGCCTAGGGATTACAGTCAACAATAATATGTTATATCCTTCAAAGTTGCCGAGACTAGATCTTTTTTTTTTTTTTTGCGGTACGCGGGCCTCTCACTGTTGTGGTCTCTCCCGTTGTGGAGCACAGGCTCCAGACGCGCAGGCTCAGAGGCCATGGCTCACGAGCCTAGCCGCTCTGGGGCACGAACCCGTGTCCCCTGCATCAGCAGGAGGACTCTCAACCACTGCGCCACCAGGGAAGCCCCGAGACTAGATCTTAAATGTTCTCACCACACAAAATTAACTATGGGACCTGACGGAGGTGTTAGCCAATGCTATGGTGGTAATCATTTTGTAATATTTTAAGTGTATCACATCAGCACATAGTACACCTTAAGGTTACATATGTCAATTATGTCTCAAAAAAAGAACACGAGAAAAGAAAAGCACCCAAGAGAGCCCTCTCGGAGCTGCCGTTAACCCTGTCTGACTCCACATCAGCCCCTGGGCGGCAGGGCTGGCTTCCTGTTGCAGCCTCAGCTGCATCCTCACCTCCGACTGCCCTCCAGGCCACTGCCTGGGCATCACGGTTGGTCTGAGTTGGTGGACACAGCTGCACAGGGGAGAGTTTGCAGAATGGTGGGGAGCTTGGTGGCGCCTGAACACGGAGTGTGGGCAGGAGCTCAGAGGCCCACTGGGCTGGGAAAGAAAGTGGGGCGGGCAGGATGCTCCTTAGGGGCCAAGGGGTTTGCCCTTTGTCCTGTGTGCGTTGGGAGCCACTGAAGGCTTCTGAGGAAGACAGTGGCAAAACTAGAGCTGGGTTTTCAGAGGCTGGGTTTAGTCCCTCTGTGACCCACAGCTTGTGCACTGTCTTAGCCAAGTTCCAAAAATCTGTCTTCGTAGTTTGCATGTGACTTCCTTCTGTCACTGAGTGTGACTGTCTCTCAGGGGCTGTCAACACTCAAAGGTCACTGGCCCTTATAGGGCACAAGCTTCTATGTTTAGTTTGTAGTCTAGTGACCGCAAAGCCTGTGCTGGGGAACCTGGCCTTGTTTGAGCCTCGTGGTAGCAGGCACTATGGTGTTCTTAGTACCTGGAGTGGAAATATAGTTTTTTTTTTCCCCTGGGGTGGATTCCTCCTTCTTTTTCTGGAAAAACTCCTGTTGACCTTTCCAGACCCAGTGGAATGCTCCATCTCCTGTGGTGGCTCCTGGCTTCCTCATAGAATGTGAGTGCTACCGCCCCTAAACTCTGACAGTACTTGATCAGTCCCTGTTCTCCTTGCGCTAGAGATATTTATTTGTCTGATTTTCCCAGCTAGGCTCTGAGTGCCTTGAGGGAAGCGTCTGGTCTTTTCTGTCTCTATATCCAGTTCAGGGCCTGGCAGAGTTAAGTACTTAATTGAGCACAGTCATCCAAGCATATTATCACCTGCTGACTGATACATATGTATTCTAGGCACTGGAATGCATCAGTGAATAGTCCAAAGAAAATTCCCCTCCCGCCCTGGAGCTCTCAGCTTATTTGATCCTCTGCATGTGACTTCCACATCCATAAATACCTTCTGAGGGACAGACTTCCTGCTGCCTTCCTCAGATCTGGAGGATGTTATGTTCTGAGGGTGGACTTTGACAACTTGAGAAGGAGAAGCGCTTTCTTTCAGCATGAGGGCCATGTGCCTTGTATCCTCCAAATGCTAACAGAACACAGTTCTCTGACTGGTAGGTTGTAGGTGCTTGCTGCACAGGTATTGGATGGAGATTGGAGTAGAATTAGAATATGGGTAAGATTTTACTCCCAGGGGGAGGGTGACCTGCTTGGGCCAGGGCAATCCCAGGTCTTGCACAACGAGAAGAACACGGCCAGATCCACGAGTTCTCTACAAAAGGATTGGATTTTAGAGGCGGACGGGGGCCTGACACGATGCAATCAGACTACAAAATAATTGGTTTTAATTCTAGACCGTACCTGCAACAGGTTTTGTTCCCTCTCTTGGCACTTTCCCAACTCCGGGACTCCCTTTTGAGTTTTAGAAGCAGCAACTTGCAGATGTCCACCCTGCCTTGAGGAACATGAAAAGACAGAGGCTAGAGAGAGGGGCCTTGTGGCATTCTGGAACCTGTGGTGTGACACAGCTGGCGAAGGATCCTCTCCCTTCCTTCCAACACACTCACCCACCAGCTGTCAAAGCCACAGGAAACCAAAGAGAAAGGGCACCGTAACTGGGACTCCAGAGTTTCCAACAACTCATCCTGTGGTAGCAGACAGGGTGGTTCCCGGCCAGGCTTGGCCACTGACCCAGCTGAGCAAGTCAGCGCCCTTCCTTGGGAAGCAGTGAATGACATGAGGAGGTTGGATGGGATGGTCTTAAATGCTCTTGTGGCTTTTTGTAGGAAAGAGGAGGGGCTCCGGTGTCAGATACACCTGATTTTAAAATGGAAGGAAGCTTGAGAAGTGGGGTAGAGTGCCGTAGAGAGCTGCATGGGTTTCAGAGCCAGACCACCTGGGTTCCGACCCTGGCTCTGCCCCTTATTAGCTGTTTAACTTCGGACAAGTTGCTTAACCTCCCGGAGGCTGGGTTTCTGTGCAAACATAGTGATGTGCCCTCCTCCCTTGGTGGCTGGAGGAAACGTCTATAATGCGATATTGCAGGGAGGGCGCGGAGCTCAGGGCTTGGCACAGAGAAAGCTGTAATCAGCGTGGGTGGTGGCAGTGGTATTTGAGATGCTAACCACTTCAAGGTGGACAGGTGTCCTTGAGGCAGGGCACAGGGTTTGAGAAGCTGCTCTGAGCAGGGCACTCCAGGAAGAGCTACACATGGAGATGTAAATTTCCATCCAAAAGTTGCTTGCTCATTCTGGAACAGGGCCACAGGAACAGCTGGACCACCCCAAACTGTCATGAGTGTCTTTATCCCCACAGGGACAGGCTAACCCAGGGCTGCTGGCTCAGGTTGGGCCTGCCATTGCCGGGTGCCAAGCCTCCACGCAGCACACGTGGGTGAATCTGGATGAATCCTGGGACTCTGGGTGAGTCCCAGGGCTCCTGGCCATGTACTGGCTTGCTCATTGCATGGCCTGGGCTGCGGGTCTGGGTGAACACGCTCTCTATTCCTTTCCAGTGCGTCGATCCAAGGCGGCTGATGAGGAGAGAAGGCGCAGAGCCCAGCGCGCCCGGGACGAGTACCGGCGCCACTCCCTCCGCGCCATCCAGAAGGGCACGGTCGCTGGCCTCAGCTCCAGGTTCCGAGAGCTCGGTCAGAGCCACGAGCAGGAGGCGAGACTCTACCACCACCTCCTGGGCCCGGGGCCGCCTTCACCCCTGGCCGTGCCTGGCAGGTGGGTCGCGGACCTCGCATCCCGCATCCGCATCCGCGGTGTGTCTGGGGGAGGGCCTCCGGCTGGCGGGTAGGGCACCAGGGATCCAGTCCGGCTCTGCCTCCGACTTGCTGTGAAATTTGGGGCTAGGCATCTCCCCTCTGTTGGCCTCAGTGCCCTAGTCTGTGTAATGGGGCAGGAGTTGGGGAGAGGAGTCGGGGTTGGAGATTTCTACCAACTCTGGAGTTCTGGGAGGCTTCACCTCTTTGGGGTCTAGGATTCCTTTGAGAATCTAAAGAAAGCTGTGTACCCTCTTCTCTGCGAAATGCACATATGTAAATACCCCAAATGTGTGCATGTAATTTCAGGCTCTAGAAGATCCGTAGACCCCAGGTTAAGAACTTGTAATATAAGACCTCAAATGGGTTAAATGTGGCCCAGCAGCCTGAAAGCAGAACTGGCTGCTGCTTTTTGTAACCACAGGCAATGCTGGTGCATCCCGGGTTCTGATAGCCTGTTGCAGATGAACGCAGTTGAGTGCAGGAGGGTCCTTACACACTGGGCTGATGAGTGGTTTGGCAAGGGCGCTCAGGTGACTGACTGCCCATGATTGCTGGGACCGAGGATCAAGAGGTTGCCTGGAGCCTCTCCACCTGCCGCCTGTGCCCACCTCAGGCCAGCCCTAAGGTTGGTTCCCCTCCTCATTATTGCTGATTGTCTGCTGCCCCGAGGGAGGGCTCAGAGGCTGGAATGGTGAGTGCCTGCTGCTCCCTGAACCACAATAAACCTGCAGCCCCAGGTGACATTCAGCCCCAGATGACAGAGGGTTGTCTGGGTTTTGCTTTAATTGGGATTTAGGATTATTCATAAAACCCCCTCCCTCTCCCTGCAGCCTAGGGAGAACTGACATCTGCGTTTCTTCCTTCCTTCCCTCCCTTCCTTTCCTCCTTCCTTGTCATTTATACGATTCACAAACCAGAAAGTTTAAAAAGATACATGGAGAAAAGGCTGACTCCCATTCTTGCCGTCCATCTACTCAGTTCCCTCTTCCCTGCACAGGGAACCACTGTTCTTAGTTTAATGTGTCCTCCCAGTTCCTTTTTGCAACTGCCAAGGTGAAAAGTTGTATCTCCTTTGTTTTTTTGTGTTTTTTTTGCATAAAAGTTTGCCTATCATACACTGGTTCTGCATCTTGATTTTTTTTTCCATTTAACTATAAATTTTGGAGGTCTTTACACATCGATTCTTACCTGATTATTTTTATTTAGTTTTCTTTTTACAGCTGCATAGTATTCCACTGCATGGCTATGCTCTAATTTATTTTTGAAAACCTCTATTAATGGACATTAGCGTTGTTTGAAATCTTTGGTTATTACCAACAGTGCCCTTAATGAGTAACCTTGTAGACATGCAACTATTATCTACAAGAGAGATTCCCAAAAGTGGGACCACTGGGTTAGGGGCTACATGCACTTATAGTATTGATAGTTATCATCAACTTGCCCTCCACAGGGTTGGTACCAATGAACACTCTCATCCTCTAGCCTTGCCAACAATGTGTTGTCAGACTTTTATTTTGTGTGAGAAATAATATCTCAGTGAAAATTTAAATTTGCATTTCTATTTATGTGTGACATGAAGTATTTTGTATATGTTTAAGGGCCTTTGCTATTTCTCTGTCTGTCTGTTCATTTCCCTTCCTGCCTCTTCACTGTGTTTTTGTTCTTTTTGCCATCTGTTTCTAGGAACTCCTTAAATATTAGGGATGCTTTTCTTTGTGATAAACATTTTTTCCCCTCAATTCGTCATTTGTCTTTTGACTTTTATGATGATGTTTTCTGTCATGCAGGAGTTCGTTATTTTTATGAGGTCAGATTTTCTTTTATGTTTCCTGGATTTGGAGACATAGTTAGAAAAGCCTTCTTTCTCTTGTGCTTTTTTTTTTTTTTTTTTTTTTTTTTTAAAAGGAGACATATAATTTGTCCTTCAGGCCCAGAAGACAGAGCTGCATGAACTGTGTTGTAGTCTGGCTCCAGGCTCGCTGTGTGTGGCTGTCAGTAGAGGAGAAGTGACAGCCACAGTGTGCCGCCTTGGGTGGAGCAGGGGGACCAGGGACCATGCAGATGGAGCGGCAGACCCAGGCACCAGAAGCCATGCCTCAGCCTCCTTCCTGTGGCTGCCCCATGGAACAGGTCCCCGTGGCCTCACTGCCCTCAGCACTGTGGTGCTGGCACCGGCGGCCAGCCCACACTTGCCCGGTTATGCTGGGGGCAGACACATTGTTGATGGGAGAGAGTCCCAGGTGCAGGGGTGAGGCTTCTGGCCAGGTGGCCTCTTGGAGCCCTTGGTCCTAGCATTTATATTCTGGGGAATCAGATTCTCTGCTTAGAAACAGAGGGACAAGAGTGAACGAATTCTCCTTCCTGTTATTTATAACCTCCTCTTGCCTTCTAAGGAGAATGAGTCCTAGAAACCAGAGGATATTTTTTCCCCCTGAGCACAGTTATTTATCGGGGAATGCAAGTGTGAAGGAAGAGGCTGGGGCAGGGCTGCAGTGTGCCAATTCATAAAGAGGAAGAGCACCTGAGGTTCCTGAGAAGAGGGAACTCCTCAGGGGCGGATACAGAGGAGCAAAGCTGGTTGGAGGGGGTGTTAAAAAAAGCCTGCAGAGGTGGCAACGGGAAGCAAGGGGTTTGCAGAACAGAGTCCACTGATGATGATGGCTTTAGGCTGTTCAGTGGAACCTCACCCTCTGTCTTTCTTATTGCATCTTTTCTAACATCTACAGTGTTCACTACTGTGTGTGTGTATGTGGATTCATTTTAGGGCAGGTGAAAATAGGGGCTCATTCTGGGGTTTGCCAGGAAGTGCTGGGCTCAGCATCAAAGTGTTGGTTGGTGCAGGGGAAATGCAAAGACTTCGTGACTTCCTGCTTCCGGCGTTTATTTCATAAGAGATGATGACAGTGGTGGTGAATTCTAAGTGCCAGTGCTCTGAGGTGGACAGACAGCAGTGACAGTTCGAGCGTTTGCCAGGTTGCTGTCGCTCAGGGGGAAGGGTGAGAAAGCTGTGGTTGTTCAAGCTGGGCCCAAAGTCTGCTGAAGCTCTGTTTTCATCCCATACAGCAGTGCAATGTGATCTTGCTGCATGTCACCTTAGCACACGGTGGTGTGTGTTGTTATGGGGAATGTGCTGTCAAACCCTTACTGGGCTTCATGTCAGTGTGGCTCTAGTACAGCGGGGTCTCACGTGGCCCTGTCTCTGTATATGTTCAGGAGCCACAGTATAACAATTAAAATCTGGGCTTACTTATGAGAAAATATCAAAAAGCATCTGATTTAGTACTCAGACCGTCTTCAAGGGCCCCTCTTCATCTCCCTCCCAGGATCCTCAATTCCACACCTGCTTCTCCATCAAAAGTCAGCCCATGCAGCGACTATTTCCTCCCCTCTCCCTTTCCTCTGTCCTTTTCCTTCTTACTTCTTGGTGGTGAAGCTCAGCCGTTTCCAGAGCAGATTGAGGCCGTTCGCTGTCCTGGTTCTGCCTCATAAGACACGGAAGGCTAGCTGGCCAAGCCAGGTGTCCCCTTAGACGGCAGCGGTGGGTGAGAGGGGGAGGGGCAAAACCAGAGTTCTCTTCAGTGCGGGTCTGGGGAGGGCGGAGGACACGTACATATGATTAATTTTGCTCCTATTACATTACGATCCTTCCTCATAGATGCTGCTGTTTATGCCCTGGCCATTCTAGAGGGCAAATATGCCTTTTCTCTCCCTCAGACATCCCCTCCTATCCTACTTTGCACTCGCACCTGTGTGGCTTTTTTTCAAACTAAGTGACAACAGTTTTCTTTTGGGGAAAACAATAACAGCTGGTACGTTATGACCTGCAAAGCGCCTTCAAGTACCTGGACTCATTTAATCCTGTCCACAGGCGTGAGTGTGGGCGTCGGGACTGTTCACTCTCACAGTGGTCTCCCCCACTCCCTCCCCCTCCTTCCTTCCCCTCTCGCCGCCCCCCTGCCCCACCGCTCTCTCCCTGACTCTGCCACACTCGGTCTCTGTCTCAGCAGGACTTGGGAGCGGCCCCTGTGTCCTGTCTCCAGAGAAGTCATAGTGCGCTGGTTTAAGGAGGAGCAGCTGCCTCGCCGCGCGGGCTTTGAGAGGAGCACCAAAGCCATCGCCCCCTGGTTCCACGGTAGGGTGACTTTCCGGATCCCTGGGGCAGATCATTTCCACATCTCAGCCTCCCTCTGGGGTTGGTGCGGGGTCCTGAAGGGCCACCACAATCAGAGGAGTCAAGGAATTTAGACTCTGCTAGTTCCGCTCCGGCCCCACGAAGACTCGCCGGTCTCCCAAGGCTAAGGCTCAGCGCTCCTGGCTCACCTGCTGGGAGTGGAGTAGAGAGAGCTCCCATGTCTGTCCTTTCTTTGCTCACTGAGTGTGTTGAGCTCAAGGCACAAGCTTTGATTTCCCCAGGGCACGTGCTGAAACACTGAGTGACCTTGATGGAGATGGTCAGAGACCAAGCACAACATCTGTGAGCGGGAGTCCAGGGGACTGCAGGCCCCAGGGCTCTGGGTGTGCACTGCCCTCTCTGCTGGGAAGGGATGAACATGGCTCTTGCCTACTGCCCTCACCTCACAGCCTCCTTGGCCGTCCAGGGCTCCTCAGAGGCATCATCTGTCTCTGCATTGGGCCTGGTAGGTGTGTGAGTCCCCTCAGGGCCCGATGAGTGAGGTTAATCTGGGAGCAATGAGAAAACCCAGCCACACGAGAGCTGAGGCTAGCCTTTCCGGTTAGCCATGGGCTCCAAGGGGCCAGGGCCCTGTGTCTTAGGCATCTCTGTACTCAGCCGTCACCTCTGCTTCCTACCTGCTCAGGGATCAGGTAGAGAAACGCATCCAAGACAAATGAACCCTCTTTCTCTGTTGCCACTGATGTTGAGTTCTTCACCTCAATAGCATCCCCATTGTGTCAGTCAGATTATGCTTAGATCTACAGTGAGAAATGATCCCAAAGTCTCAGTGACGTCTGCCAGCCAAGACTCATTTCTTACCCATGTAACATGCCCAGTGGGAGTTGGTCGTGAACTTTAATCTGGGCCTCAGACAGAAGGAGTTGCCTCTACTGGAAACGCCAGTGATCTCCTGACAGAGGGAAAAAGAGGGGCATGGCCAGCGACACACTGGCTCCCGGAGCTTCTGCCTGGAACTGACGTGTGCCATGGTTGCTCACATTCCTCTGGCCAGAGCCAGCCTGGCATCTGTGGTACGGATAGTTTGGAATCATAATGGAATCTGTTGGGACCACCATTCACTTTCAGACCCTTTCCTTCTCCTGGGCCTCCACAAATCTAACAGAAGGATGGGATAGCTCTTTATGGCTCAGAAAGTCGACAGTCGACGTTCACATGTGGCCTAGCTGTGTGTCCCGGGAGCTGGTCCCGGGGATTCCCTGCCTCTAACTTCTGTCCCTGTTATGTGTCCCTGTAGCCCCTGTGAGAGGTTCCATTTGCATCACTGCTTTCCTTTTCATTCGTATATTATCATAATCATGGAAACACAAAACTAGCGTCTTGGGCACCTGCATAGTGCAACTTAAAAGTTCTGTCACGGTTGGGGTTTGTCAGAACCACTGGCTGCTCTGCTGCACTTGTGGCAGCCAACGGAGGAGGCACGGCAGAGGTGCTTACATTTATCTTTAGCTTTATTTTCTATCCTGATGAAAAAGACGTGTACTTTTTATATTGTCACAGAAGAAACAGAACCGTGATTTTTTTTTTTTTTTCTTTTTGCGGTACGCGGGCTTCTCACTGTTGCGGCCTCTCCCGCTGCGGAGCACAGGCTCCGGACGCGCAGGCTCAGCGGCCATGGCTCACGGGCCCAGCCGCTCCGCGGCACGTGGGATCTTCCCGGACCGGGTCACGGACCCGTGTCCCTTGCATCGGCAGGCGGACTCTCAACCACTGCACCACCAGGGAAGCCCCAGAACCATGATTTAAGTCTCGAAATTTACGTAACTGATTTCGTGTTCTTCTCACAGTTCCACCATAAAGCGTGCAGGAACGTTGCTAATCCACGGACAAGAGCTATGTGTCGATGTTTTCATTGATCTGTGACAAGATGAAAGGAAAAGGCTCACATATGGAGGGTGGTCAACTATCTTTGCTTGAAAAGGACTGTGTTGTACTCGAAGATGATATCCTCTCCTCAGTTTTAGTGTTAAAATGTCCTATCTCTTATGAATTGATGGTGATAGTAAGCAGTAGTTATTTTTTTTATATATTGCCTTTGCTCAGAAGAGCAAAAAGGGAGCAGCCCCACGTTGGTTTCCATACTTTTTACTTATACCCAAAATCCCAAAGTCTGGAACTTCTGGTATGGTCCAACTTCTCTTCCAACGTAGCAATTCCCTACGGCATCCTTGGTGGGACTCCCCCATGTTAATCTGTCCAAGAGGAGAAACCTCCTGCCCCACAGTCTGATTGTTAGGGAGTCTGCTGCAAGTTGGCTGGGGCTCTGCTCCTCAGCTGGTCTTGGCTGGGCATCTTCGCTGGGGCGGCTCTGCCCCGTGTAGCTCTCAGGCTCCTCCTGGGACTGGCGGGCTAGCCCAGGCATGCTCTTCTCAGGAACCAGAGAGCACATGGCAGCATGCTAAACTCCAGAAGCCTAGCCTCCGAACCAGCACCCTGTCACTTTCACCGTGTGCCGTTGGCCACAATATGTCACAGAGTTGAGGCGCTGGGAAAAATATTCTGCTCCCTTTGTGTGAGGAACTGCAAAGCCGCGCGTCAAAGGGTATGGAGACAGGGAGGGGTAGGAGAATTTGAGCCGATAATATGCCGTCGGTTGCAATCCCAATGTAAATCTTTTCTTTCCTGGGGAAAGCATTCCTAGTTAATTTAGATGGATTTTAGATGCAGGTTAAAAAGGACTGCTGTGACTTCTATTTTCTTCCCTTCTATTAAACGTATTTGGATGTGTCAAGGTGTAATCCAAAGAGCGATGTGGGCAAAAGGAGTCTGAAGGTCTGGGGCCCCCCTAGAACCTAGCAGCTCTGTGACCTTGGGTACGTCCTTTAAATTCCCCATCTGTGATGATAACATTGACTCCACAGGATACGTATGAAGATCAAGCCAACAAATGTGCTCTGTCCACCATAACGAGCCGTAGGCATGAGTGCTGACGCACTGAGGTGGGCCACTAGAGACCCCACCTCCCTGGGGAAGCAGTTTGGGGAAGTGGGCGCAGAGCACAGAGTGGGACAGAAGGAGGAACTGGCTTCCTGCTGGGACCATGGGGTTCTTGATAAAGTCCCCTCTGTTAGAAAGAGGGAGAAAATGTTAAAGTCATTCCTCGTTTCTCCTCGGTTCATTGTTAGGTTCCAGTGGTTCTAAGAGAGACTTCTGGTATACAAAAATACTCCTGAGAAAAGCTAGTGCATATAAGCTTGACGTTGGGGGGAAAAAGTATCTATTTTTGGACTTCAATATGTATCTAAAACTATTAAGAACACCCTCTGTCTGAACCCTGGCTCAGTCAGAACCCATTTCTTTTCCTGAGAAAAGAAAACAGTCTAGAAAACAGTCACACTTGGTCCGTGGTTCATTGTCCTGGCAGCAACCCACTGGCTGTCTGCGACTGGCCCTTAGTTAGGGCTTGGCGGGGACTGTGGCTGCGCAGGGGATGGTGGAGCTGGGGCTCCGGAGTGGATCTCCTGATGGCCCGCCCTGCATTCAGGTGGGGTGTTCACATCACGCCTTTTCTGACAAGCTCCATGCAGATGGTGCAGCCTGCGGGGGTCCAGCAGCCGGGGGTGGCTTTCCGTGCAAAGCAGAGCTCCTCAGTGGAACAGGCACCGCTTCCTACCTGCCCATATGCTGCGACTTCAGGGCCCACGTGGAGGAGAGAAGTGTTGAAGGTCCCAGGGCTGCAGGGTTCTGGGATGCGTCCCCCCCTTCCGGTTCCTTGTCCGCCTTGCTCTTGACAACAGCGCATCCGAATGTCTTTGAAGTGGGGAGCGGGGAGAATGTAGCAAAGGGGCTTGGGGGCTGGGAGTAAAGAGACACACTTCACTTCAATAGAAGAAAGATGGTTGCAGCTACTACTGGGCAGCAGGATGGCTACTGGACTCCTCAGATGGGTGGCCCGAGGGCCCTTGAGAGCTTTCTCTCCTTAGCGTCTGGGTTGCAGTGTGATTCTGCTGGCATTGCCCCAGGACCTCCAAAGTTTTCTCAGGCGGTCAGGAGAATGCGGAAGGCTGGCCAGGGTGTGAGGCCGGCCACAGAGCAGGCGCCCGGGCGGGAGTCTGCGGGCTGTGGAGTGCGGTGTTCTCCCAGCGACTGTTGTGCTTCTAAGCCTTATTTGTGTCCCTATTACGGAAGTTGTTTGTGGTCCAGGAACTGAGGCACAGCAGTGGGCACCCCGTCTGGATGACCCTTCCAGGAGTCCTGCAGGGCGGCAGCCCCTAGGAGGTGGGAAGGACTGTGCCTGGGGAGGCCGGGGCTGAGTGGGAATGGGGTCTCGCTCGCTGCCCCCCGCCCCGGTCCCCCACAACTGCATGCACTGGGACAGCACATCCTCTCTGAGCTGCACAGAGCAGGAAAGGCTTGAACTGGCTGATCAGTGTTCATCACTGGATGCTGCCGTGAAGTCTTGTGTGTTTGCCTGGCTGTGTAGACGTGCAGAGTGGTTTGGCGTGCACCATCTCACAGGTGCTCTCAACTTCTCCTCGAGCTGGTCATGGTTATAGCCCTTTACAGATGGAGACGCTGATGACCAGAGAGCTTGAGAAGTCGCCCTTGTTCACCCAGCAGTAAGCATGGGAGCTGGGACAAGACGTAGGGCTTCTGGACGCCAGTTTTTCTTCCTCCACTCTGGTGGCCCCTTGAATATGCTGCTAGCCAGGCAGGGAGCTTGGGGCGAAAAAGTGCCTCCTCTGGATCCACAATCCCTTACTGTATATTCACTTGAACTTCTGTTACGTACGGCCCGAGTTCTTTCTTTTAAATCTCACCCCTCCGCAATCCGTGGGCCTTCCAGAGCAGAGCTGCCACTGGTCTCCTGGCCCAGCTTGAGGGGAAATCTGGGAGCGCCCTGTTTGGTCTTTGGGGTCATTCTCAGGGGCTAGAGTGTCTGGGGCTGAGATGGAGAGAGTGAGCCAGCTAGGCTCTTGTCCTCGGCTTTCAAGATCAGT